TCCCTTCCTACCACTGCTGGTGACTGCAAACTAGTTCAACCTCTGTGGAAAGCATATGGAGATACCTTAAAGCGGAACAAGTGAATCTACCATTTGATCCAGCAATCCCATTGCTGGCATCTACCAAAATGATCCAGTGACACTCTACAAAAAAGACACTGCACTCGAAGTTTATAGCAGCACAATTCAATAATTGCAAGGCTGTGGAAACAGCCCAAGTGCCCATCAATCCAAGAATGGATTAATAAAATGTGGTATATGTATACCATGGAGTACTATTCAGCTCTAAGAAACAATGGTGATATAGCACATCTTATATTTTCCTGGTCAGAGCTGGAACCCATACTACTAAGTGAAGTATCCCAAGAATGGAAAAACAAGCACCAGATATATTCTCCAGCAAACTGGTATTAACTGAGTAGCACCTAAGTGGACACATAGGTGCTACAGTAATAGGGTATTAGGGAGGTGGGAGGGAGGGGGCGGGTATATACATACATAATGAGTGAGATGTGCACCATCTGGGGATGGTCATGATGGAGACTCAGACTTTTGGGGGGAGGGGGAAATGGGCATTTATTGAAACCTTAAAATCTGTACCCCATAATATGCCAAAATAAAAAAATTAAAAAATTAAAAAAAAATAAATAAAAAATAAATAAATAAAACACAAAGTAATATGATATACTGGTAATGCACATATTTCAATATATAATATGAATATGCATCTTATATAAAAGTAATATGATATACTGCTTATGCATATACATACATAGATTTGTGCTTTTATGTGTTTGTATTGCATGTATGTGTATGAATGCATGCAAGTTAGAAAGTACAAAAACATGTACAGAAAATATATGTACTATTTTCCAGATAGCAATTACCTTTCGTGGTAATGGTAACGATGTGTGTGTCTGTGTGACATGTATGTACGTACAAATGCATGTTCACTGAGCAGAGATAGTCTGTATGCTTGAAACCTTATGTAAGTAAAAATTTTGGAAAATTACATTATAAAAACTTCCATCTGATAACTAAAAAAAAAAAAAAAAAAAAAGACATGGTTTAAGGACTGAACTGCCCTCTTAATTCATCTGCATTCTCCAAAATATATCATAAAATCTGAATACAAGAGTTCCTTCCAGTACCCAATGAAAACATAGTCTCTGGAAAGGCAGAAGCCCTCTGTTTCCTTCTTTATTGTGGAGGGCAAGAAGTACACGACATTTAGAATACAGGAATGATGAACTAAGTTTTTAGACTTTTGAAAATAGGAAAAAAATAAAGCAGAAGAAATGTTTCAGAATGTTTCTAAAAGCAATGGGGGTCTAAAAAGTTAGTGAGAAATTTCCCAAAAGAAATCCAGATGTGGCTTAGTTTGCTTCTAGGAGAGCCTCCAATGATCTCTGCCTCTTGGGATTTATGCCTGTAGGTAACCCTCTCCCCAGGAATGGAGGCCAACACAGCGACTCACATCTAATGGATAAAGCATAGCAAGAGCGATGGGACGTCATCTTCAAGATTAGATTACAAAAAGACAATGACTCTTGTGGTGCTCACCCCTTCTCACTCTCTCTTCCCTGGCACTGACAGAAGCCAGCTGCCATGCTGTGGTCTGCCCCATGCAAAGGTAAACTCGGTAGGGAAGAGAAGGAGGCCTCCAGCTGACAGTGAGGAAATACAGACCTTGGTCTAACTGCTCACAAAGGACTGAGTCTTCCCAACAAGCACGTGAGTGAGGTTGGAAGCGAATCCTCCCCTGGCCAAGTTTGCAGATGAAACGCAAGACCCGGCCCACAGCAGGTGAGAGAACTTGAGGCGGAGGCACCCACTTAATCTGGATTCCCTAGACCCAAAAAATCCATGAAATAATAAATGTTTAGTGTCTTTTTTTTTTTTTGGAGACAGAGTCTCATTCTGTTGCCCGGGCTAGAGTGTCATGGCGTCAGCCTCGCTCACAGCAACCTCAAACTCCTGGGCTCAAGTGATCTTACTGCCTCAGCCTCCTGAGTAGCTGGGACTACAGGCATGCGCCACCATGCCTGGCTAATTTTTTCTATATTTTTTTAGTTGGCCAATTAATTTCTATTTTTAGTAGAGATGGGATCTTGCTCTTGCTCAGACTGGTCTTGAACTCCTGACCTTGAGCAATCCTGCCTCAGCCTCCAAGAGTGCTAGGGAGTGCTAGGATTATAGATGTGAGCCACCACACCCAGCCAGTGTTTAGTGTTTTAAGCTGCTAAATTTTGCGGCTACCTTGCTACAGAGCAATAGGTGTTAATTCAAAAAGATAAGAACAATGCACAGCATTAAGCTCTGACATCAAGATGATTTTATTTACAAGCATTTGCTAGTGGGCGGGGGGGGGATAGAGGCAGATGAGAGGCCAAATTGTACCTTTAGGGAGCAGGGTAGGGGAGGCAGGAGGGCAGGTGTGAAGGGCAAACAGAAGATGTCCAGCACTAAAGATTACAAAAGTGACTTACACAGAAGAACCCTTATCCTGTACGAGCTCAATTGCTAATGTAAGAAACATGCATAAACAAAGCAGCCCACCAAACAATGTCATAATTGTAAAAATGAAGTGCAAATGGTGTCCTTTATAATGGGCCCCACTTTCCTGGAGATTTTCTGCCCTTCTGGTCCTTCTAAAAGCCCAGACCCTGAAGTTTTCCTTTTCCTAACTGTGGAAGGCTTTAGCTTGCAAGACCAAAGGCTGACAGTTCCTTAAAATGAGTGCTTGCATTTATTTAGGTTACTACTCACTCAGGACCACCTCCCACAGGGGGAAATTAGCCAAGAGGGAAATCAGCCAAAAACTGGGAACAATCAAATGTCCTATCGCTGGGTGACTGAATAAACACACCAATGTATAGCCATACAACAGTTCTCAGCAATGACAATGAACAACTGATACATTTTATAGAATGGATGAATCTCAGATAATTATGCTGAGTGAAAGAAACCCAACAAGAAAGAGTACATAATGTATGATTTCATTCACGTAAAATTTCAAGAAAATGCAAACTAATCTATAGTGTCCACATAAAAAGTGGTTGCCTGGAGAAAGGGGTGGGTGAAGGAGGTGGCTCAGGAGAGAAGTATTACAGAAGGCATGAAGAAATGTTGGGGGGAATGGATATATTCATCATCTTGAATATGATGATGGTTTCACAAAATTATACATATGTCAATATGTATCAAATTGTATACTTTTAAAATATTTTATATTGTTTATTGTATGTCATTTACACTTCAATAAAGATGTTTCTTTAAAATAGTGACAATTATTTAAGGATGACCTTGATGAAATTTTGTGCATTTAAAATTACTATTTATGAAGAGTTTCTAAAGACACTGATATATAGTATATATCAAGTTACAAAAGAAAGATACCTAATTACAAGAATAATAAGTTTGTAACTATGCAAAACAAAATATTAAACAACAAGCTAGGTGTAGATGAAACTCTAAGAAATGCACAGGTTGTCTCTGAGAGATGATGTCCTAGTATAACTTTTCCTTCCTTATTCTTGTTAATATTTTGCAAATTTTCTAAAGTTAGCATTTTAATTTTTATTGTAAAATAAAAACTGAACACAATTTAATTCTATTCACTTAAAAAAGAAAAAGCATATAGTTCTCAGGCATCCGTGAATACTTTTGGAAAGCCCAGGTCGGGTAGCAGCGCCTTTGTGGATGGCAAAAGCTGTCAAACAGGAAAGGGCTGTCAGGTTCACAGCTGCTGGGCGTGCTCAGTGTAGCGTATCTACCTTGAGCAGTGCGTTCCCCAGACCTGAGAGGTGCACACAGGAGGGTGCTCAACCTGCCCTTCTGTCTGTTCCCTGGAGGCGGGTCTCAGACCCTGCCAGCCACCTCCTCCACAGACGCTCCCGGCCATGAAACCTCTCCTGGTTGTGATTGCCTGGCTCTTCCTTTGGGATCCAGTGACAGCAGGTAAATGGGAATCTTCCTGGCGGAGGGGTGCTTCATCGGGAAGAACAATGCCACTAAACAACCCTCTACATGTACTCCTGCCCCGGGCCTTTTAATTTCCAAAGTAGAAAAAGCATCCACCAGCTTTGACGTCAGCAAGACCTAAGTTTGAATCTTGGTTATCCAGCCCTTGAGTTGTGCAACTTAGGGAAAAGGTCTGAGCCTCTCTGAGCCTTAGTTTCCTCATTTACAAAATGGAAATTAAGAGTCTTGCAAGGATCAAATGGGATAATGCACAGAACAGGCCTATACGTAATATGAAAAGTACCGGGCTCGTGATGATGATCATTATATTCTCATTATTAATACCTGTCCTGTTTTGCCACTGCGGTTCTACCTCTAGTTCAAGAATGTTTCCCGGTATAATAGTTAAAACCAGTAAATAGTGATAAGACAATTTGCTAGGCTTTCTAATATACCAGATTGCTTACAGTCAATGTATTGTTTAGGAGTCCCTTAGTTACATGAGAAACAGATTTGGAACCGCTTGTTTCAAGGGAATTACTGAGCTTTCTGCAGTAGGAGAAATGGCTGATCTGATGAGGTGGCAGCCAGGGAAACAGGACTGGCTTTGCCCTCTAGCTTGACCATGTTCTTTCTGACTTTCAAAGTCTCATCTTGAATGTTCTCTTCACCTGATATTACTGACTGAGCCCCAGTGTTCATGCCGTGAGCATAAGCCTCAGGGCTGGGTGAGCCATGCGACCCGAATTTAAGGATGCGTAGGTCCCAGGCCTCTTGAAGCTGTGGGTGGGACCAGCTCTGCTATGGCTTATGGTGAAGCATTTATGGCCCCCAGACACTCAGCAACCCTATCTAGTCTACCACATTCCCTAGAGTGCCTTCTAGTTCCCACAGCAGGTCATTTCCATAGGCATTTCTTGTCTCATTGCATACAGCATTGCATTGTATTTCATCTTCCCAAAAGTGTCACAGATTATCCTCTTGGGCTTCCATCTTGCCAACTAACTAGACTTGGTCCCTTCTTTTTCCTGTAGAATAATTATCCTCCAGGGCATGATGACTTGGATAGCGGGTGTATGGGCTCAAAATTTCTATGGATGACCAAATATTGGCACTCTTACCTTCTTGCATATAAAAATAGAGAAACAACCATGTTTGATCATTGTGAGGAGTAGCCTGTCTACAAAATTGTAAGCGTTGCTCAAATGCCTTGAGCTCCAGTAAGACTTCCCAGTTCTTCAGAATTGATTTCATCCTCCTCCAAACTCATAAGACCTTTCCACGTTGTAAATACTTCACTGCACTTGTCACATTTTTGTCTTTTTTCAGAGATATTTTGTGTTTCTTCTCTTTTTGTCTGGACAGAACGGTCTGTGTCATACTTAGATCTGTACCTCAACAGTACCTGATTCACAGGATTCATAAAAACTGTTTTAGAAATGAATAAATAATAATGAGTAAACAATTAAATATTTGAATAATTAATAATGAATCAATGACTATGAGCATAGTAGCTAAGTTGATTGTTTGGATTATATTAACTGACCAACTCAGACAGACTTCTTAGTTATTAGTTGTGTTAGCTCAGGCTGCCATAACAAAATACTACAGACTGTGTGGCTTAAACAAAATGTGTTTTCTCATGGTTCTGGAAGTGGAAAGTCCAAGATCAAGGTGCTGGCCGATTCAGTTTCAGGTGAGGCCTCTCTTCCTGTCTTGTGGAGGCCATCTACCTGCTGTGTCCTCCACCAATGAGGCCATCAATCCTATGGGGTTAGTCTACCCATCTTACTAGACTAGGGTTCCACCCTTATGACCTTGTTTAACTTCAATTGTCTCCTAAAGGCCCTTTGCCCAAACATAGTCACATTGAGGTTAGGGTTTCAGCATACGAATTTTGAGGTGACACAATTCGGCCTATAGCACTAGTTCTTTTTCTTTTTTTTTTTTTTAATTACAGAATCAATCCTTCTGACCAAGTCCCCTTGGAATCCAACTGGATAAAACTCAAAGGCCTAGTCATTCAATAGCCAAAAAAGAGCTGTAGTGAGTTATTCACTTTCCTTCCAGGTTTAAACCCGCTATCATCAGAAATGCACAAGGAATGCTACAAAGGGGGCACCTGCAGACTCGAGTGCTACTCCAGTGAAATGTTAGTTGCCTACTGCACCTTTCAGCTGGAATGTTGCATCACAGGAAATCCTGAGCCCTGATGTGGGAGACTTGTGAGTGTCACCGAACCTGAAGGCCCCCAACCCTCCCATCTTCCACCAAGCCACGAATTCAGATCATTTTTCAGCATTTCTTATAAGGCACCAGAGTCTTACAACCTCAGATTTGAAGAGCTGAACCGTAGCCTTCTTTAAAAAGAGCTAGGCTTTTCACGAAAACAACTTAGAATATATTTTCTCCCTTCAAAATACTATCCAATGCCCTCTTCAGTGCCTATTTCTCCCTCTAATCACAGAAAGGATATCGTAATTGTTCAGAGAGGCTTCAACAGAAACATCTTCCTGCCCCACCAAACCTTCAGCTCCCTGTTTATCTCTTCTATGAACCTCCCATCTGCAGAGGAGCAGGTCTGCCCTGGCCTGCAGACCACCTTGCACATCTCTCCTGCAGGGTGTACCAGCAGGCCGGCCTGAGTTTTGACTGGGCCTGACCCAGAAGTTCTTCTTGAAACAGAAGGAGAGAGGCCACCGTGTGACGGGCTGTCACGGGTAACTCCTCATCTGCCTCCCTGGTTTCAGTTGAGCAATGGGACTGTCCATGTCAGTCCCTAGGGCTCAGCTGCGGGCCATAAGACTGCTTGGCTGGGGTTTCATGTTGGACCCTCAGACACGAAGTAACGACCACCGTGGCTGCCCATTGTCTGACCCCACTGGTTGGGTGTCACCCCATGGGTCAAGAAGCTAACAACATGCTGATCTGGCTTCTCCATATGTGTTACTAATAAACTGTCTCAATCCATTTGGACTCCCTGTTTTCATTACCAGCCAACCTTATGAAGGTGTAACAGGAAAACACGAGGATGGAGCAAAAAACAGTTCTAAGAGGGAAGTTTATAGCAATAAATGCCTCCATTGAAAAAGAAGAAAGATCTCAAATCAACAACCTGACTTTATACCACAAGGAACTAGAAAATGTAGACCAAAGTAAGCCCCAAGTTGGCAGAAGGAAGGAAATAATAAAGATCAGAGCAGAAATAAATCAAATAGAGAACATGACTTGGCTATGTGCATAATCGCCTTTGTCCCTTCCTGGGAAGAGTCAAAAGAGTTGAGTTAGGTCTCAGGATTTAATCTGCACAGGATGGCTATTTCACCCATCACAGCAGCTGCTGTTTATTTAAAGCTCCAAACTTTGATAGCGTCACCTTCTAGGAGTGTGCCAATCAAAAGCAAATCTATTCTTCTTCTCCTTGTTATAGTGGAAGCATTGCTTCTCTCTCACTGCCTTATTCTTTCTGAAATCTTTTCAAAAAGAAGGAGGCTAAATCTTTATTAACTTAACTATTTTACCTTGCTTATGATGAGAAATTTTAATACTTAAGAATAGAAACATGTTTATGCCAGCCTGAGCAAGAATGAGTCTCTACTAAAAATAGAAATAAATTAATTGGCCAACTAAAAATATGTAGAAAAAAATTAGCCAGGCACAGTGGTGTGTGCCTATAGTCCCAGCTACTTGGGAGGCTGAGGCAGGAGGATCACTTGAGCCCAGGAGTTTGAGGTTGCTGCAAGCTAGGCTGATGCCATGGCACTCTTGCCCTGGCAACAGAGTAAGACTCTGTCTAAAAAAAAAAAAAAAGAAAGAAAGAAACATGTTTATGGCCTGGTCATAGAAAACAGTACAAAATGTCTTTAACCATGCATTATAAACTGTAACATACTCAAAATTTCAACTTAAATATTTTTAATATCAATTTATCTTTCATTGTTTTCAATGTCAAATAATGAGTATTCCTTAGTAGGTTCCCGAGTAGAAAAAGTTAGACGACCCAGTAGAAAAATGGATGAAAGTCTCAAGCAGGTGCATCACAAATAAGGGTAACTAAGTGGCCAATGAACATCTCTGAAAAGGTGCTCAGCTGCATTAGTCATCAGCAAAGCACAAATTAAACCACCACATTTCATCTTTCTGTACTCTCTAGAAATGGGGGGGAAAGGCAGAAAATACTAGTCGTGGATGAGAAGGTAGAGCAACAAGAACTTGCAGCACTGTAGTTGGGAGTATAAACTGGTACAACCAGTTTGGAAGACAATTGTCTAGATAAATTAGACGATTTTATAAGGGGGAGCTAAGCTATGGGTATGCATGGTCCCACAGAGTGGTGTAAAGGACATTGGACACTCAGAAGGGGAGACGGTGAGGGGGTAAGGGATGAAGAACTACCTATTAAGTACAATGTATGCTATTCGGGTCATGTGTACACTAAAAAGCCAGGCTTCACCACCATACAATACATATATGTAACACAAAACCACTTGTACTACCTAAAACTATAGAAATAAAAAACACCTGGGCCAGGGATTACCCTGTGTGGCACAGTGACTGGCAGTACCCGGGATGTTGGGATTGTCTTTCTTTCTGATCTACTTGCTGGTTATACAGTGCATTAGATTTGTGCAATGCATCAAGATGCTCACTTAGGATTTGTACATTTTTTCTAATTGTATATTATAGTTCAAAAAAGTCCTTGAGACTTTGGGTGAGTAATAAATTAATAAGAAGAGAGAATACTGAACACAAGGAGTTTAATTAGAGGAGTATTTCCATAGGAGAGGCAATAAAGAGAAAACAGCAGGAGATTTCAGATAATCCCAACTATTTCCCAACCAATATCGGCAAATCCTTTTTATTTATACAGCACAAAGTTCTGGTATCACACATAATATGATACAGCTCTTTTGTTCCACACTTTGTCTTGCAAGAACCTTTCAATCGCCAACATGAAGCAAAAGCACGTCTTAAGTATACATTGGGTCCACTTCTAACTGCCAACAGAAACAGAGGAAAATGCATAGTTAATGTCCTGCAGTATCACGTTGCCAGGGAGAAGTGAGACTTAAAGCTATACTTTTAATTTTTCAATGCTACATTGGACATAACCTAAGATAGCCAAAACGTTTCACGGCTAGAAGCTCCCTTTTCACCTGCACTTACCTTACTTTCCAGAGGCTTTATTATAAGCCATGACATGAATCCACAATTACACAAATCACACATCCACTATGTGCCATTACCGGGGTGCAACAGATTTGTCTTGGAACTATTTGCTATAGAAAGGACATTCAGACACCGGAGGAGTCTCAGGAATCTGCAGAGGCCCCATATCAGGAGATATGCAGGGTCTGGAATAGCTATTCAAGGCAGCTTGTAATTATCAAAGCACCAGCATGAAGGAGAAGAAAAGATCACCAAACTGGAATTTCAGAAGCCTAAGGTTCTAACCCCGTATTCACCCAATAACCTTCTGCATGACTTTTTTGGCAGGTGCTTAATTGCCTGGTACTTAAGAGCATCCCGTGGGATAATGAGTATGAAATGGTTTGAAATACCTGGAACATAGACCTAGATCTCTTGCTAGTGATTTTCCTAGACCTTAAAACCTAGGTGCCTCTGGACACCAAGGTGTAGGGGAAGGGCAGAAGGAAAGTGGTTCAAGAGGTGGTGGATGTCCCCGAGTCACCCGCTGATCACCCACGATTGCATGCTAAGTCTATCACCATCTCCACCCCGCGGCCCCCATGAGACCATGGGTTGGGCCTTTGTGGTGTGAAAATTATCAATGCATGAAAATAATCAATGGTCATACCAATGGCCAAGGGCCATTAGAAAGCAAACTTTCCTGCCATATGCTTGCTAGCTCTTGGGCACTTTTCTGGGGGCAGAGGGGTCCAGTGTGGAGACAGTGCAAACTACCCGGAGGTCCTACCAGCCAGGATAGCAACAATAGTCTCAAAATGATCCTCGTCCATATCTGTCTTTTAAGTCCTTCATACGAGGCCCTTGAGGGATACATTTTTAAATATGAAGGTTTGAACCAAAGGGTGGGAGCTTTCTGCAGACCTCAGAAAACAAGCAAACAATTTTGAGGACCTCTACTTTAGTGACTTAAGTGGACACTTCTCAATGTTACCAACTTGCTGCTTTCTGTCCAGAGAACATCAATTCTGACCCCTCAAATTGATTATCCATAGAATCTCATTATGCTATAAGTTGATTTAATACATCTCAGCAATGAGCCCTGTTTGTGGATTCTGCTCAGCATAAAATCTGCCTTGGCTTCTAAATGAGTGTAAAATAACATGGGTGGCCAATGTGGGGAGGCAAGTTCTAAGACTCCTTAAGGAACAGCCTGCCTCTCAGGCCCAGGTCCTCCGTGTCCTCTAAGAGATCATCTTTTTGCTCTGCCCCACTTCTGGCAATACCATCACTCCAACCTTCCTGTCAAATTTCACAGACTTCACAGACCAAATCTAGAACCGGTTGTTTCCCTGAAGAGGCCACCTTCTATTCTATGTCCTTAGTGTCTTTTCTCCATTTCCAAAACAGCCCAGAGTGTCACCTCTGCTCATGTTCCTCCCTCTTTCAGCTTCCTTTTCCAAGCCCTGCTTTTTTCTTCACACCCCCTTTCCCGTCGCTGTTCCCAATTCTACAGGGGAGGGGCTTCTGTGTTACCTGGTGGAACATAGGAGAGCAAGACAAGGACCACAAGGACCAAGAGCACGCTCCTCATGGCCATGCCCAGCAGCAAAGACGCAGCTGAAGCGCAAGGGCGAGGCACTCCCCGCGTAGCTTTGCAGAGATGGGAGCTGCATGGCTAGTGAAGCTTTCAGAACAAGAACATCTGCTTGCTCCACTGAGCTGTCCAATGAGCGACAGGTCTGTTTGAACATGGCATCGCACCATTAAGGCACACTCCCTGGAGGCCACTTGTGTGCTAGCAACTGAATTCACACTGTGTAACAGCCCTATTCTAGGCCCTGGTAGGATACTGTGTAGGTGCCTTTGCACCCTCATTGTACAGCCATTTAACAGATGCATATGGCATGCGGAGAATCATAAGACCGCCTGATTTAGTTAACAAAGTGTTTTCAATACTAATTCCCTACATATGTATACTTTCAGAATGGCATTAAAAATTGACTTAAGTAATTCCAGCTTAGTTTTTAAAAGAAAAGGACTATTCTAAAGTCCTTAATAGAAATTTATTTGCAGTTACTTAAATAATATAATGTAGTATAATATAATATAATATAATATAATGATACTGCTCTGTATTTTTCCTCTCTTGCATTATCCTTCCAGATTTGTATCAAGACTATGCTGGCCTCAAAAAATTATCTCAGAAATGTCTCCTCCTTTAATTTCTGAAATATTTTGTGTAATGTGGGTACTATTCCTTCCTTAAATATCTGGCAGGATTCCCTAATGAAGCCATCTGGGCCTGGCATTGAGGAGAAGAGGGTTAATTGCGAATTTCGTTAGTTGATACAAGGCTATATCTTCTTGTGCCCATCTTGCTAAGCTGTGTCTTTAAAAGAATTTTTCTGTTTTATCTAAGTTGTTAATGTAACATATTACATTTATTTAATTGCATATGTCGAACCATTTTTGCATTCTGGGGATGAATCCCACTTGATCAGGGTGAATGATCTCTTTAATGTGTTGCTGAATCAGGTTTACTAGTATTTTACTGAAGATTTTTGCATCTATGTTCATCAGGGATATTGGTGTTTAGTTTCCTTTTTGTTGTCATTGTGTCCTTGCCTGATTTTGGTATCAGGGTAACGAGTTTGGAAGTGTTTCCTCCTCTTCGGTTTTTGTTAATAGTTTGGGTAAAATTCGTATTAGTTCTTCCTTTTTTTTTTTTTATTTTTTATTTTTTTATTTTTTTATCGGGAGGGGACTGAGCCTGACGAGGCTGCAGGGCCGCGAGGCCCCGCCCCCCCCCCCTAGTTCTTCCTTAAATGTTTGGTAGAACTCAGTGGTGAGGCAGTCAGATCCTGAGCTTTTCTTTGATGAGACACTTTGTATTACTGCTTCAGTCTCACTACTTGTTATTGGTCTGTTTAGGTTTTCTACTTCCTGGTGGTTCAATCTTCGTAGGTGGTAGGTGTCCAGGAATTTACCCATTTCTTCTAGGTTTTCAATTTGTTAGTGTGTAGCTGTTTATAATAGTCTGCAATGATCCTTTGTATATCTAGGGAATCAGTTTTTTAGTTTTTATTTTTGTTTGTTTTGTTTTGAGACAGAGTCTTGCTCTGTTGCCTGAGCTAGAGTGCCGTGGTATCAGCCTAGCTCACAGCAACCTCAAACTCCTGGGCTCAAGCGATCCTCCTGCCTCAGCCTCCCAAGTAGCTGGTACTACAGGCATGCACCACCATGCCTGGCTAATTTTTTCTCTGTATATTTTTAGGGGTCTCACTCTTGCTCAGGATGGTCTTGAACTCCTGACCTTGAGTGATCCTCCCGCCTTGGCCTCCCAGAGTGCTAGGGTTACAGGCGTGAGCCACCATGCCTGGCCTAGGGTATCAGTTCTTATGTCTCCTTTATGATATTTCTAATTTTATTTATTTGTGACTACTTTTTTTCCTGGTTAGTCTAAATATTTGTCAATTTTGTTTATTGTTTTGAAAAACAAACTTTTCATTTTGTTGGACTTTTTTTTTTTTTTTTTGAGACAGAGTATCACTTTGTTGCCCAGGCTAGAGTGAGTGCTGTGGCGTCAGCCTAGCTCACAGCAACCTCAAACTCCTGGGCTCAAGAGGTCCTACTACCTCAGCTTCCCAAGCAGCTGGGACTACAGGCATTCACCAACATGCCCAGCTAATTTTTTGTATATATATTTTTAGTTGGTCAACTAATTTCTTTCTATTTTTAGGAGAGACAGGTCTCACTCAGGCTGGTTTCGAACTCCTGACCTCAAGCAATCCGCCCGCCTCGGCCTCCCAGAGTGCTAGGATTACAGGCGTTAGCCACCAAGCCCAGCCTCATTTTGTTGAACTTTTATATTTTTTAACCCTCAATTTCATTATTTCTGCTCTGGATTTTATTATTTCTTTCCTTCTACTAATTTTGGATTTGGTTTGTTCTTGCTTTACTAATTTCTTGAGATGCATCATCAGGTTGTTTAAATATGCCTTTCTACCTTTTTTATGTAGGCATTTATTGCTATAAACTTCTCTCTTAGTATTGTTTTTTTTTCTGTATCCCATAGTTCAAGACATTTTTTAATTTGTTTCTACATTTTTTTCATTGACCCATTGATCATTCAGGAGCGTGTTGTTTAATTTCTAAGTGTTTGTGTAGTTTACAAGGTTCCTCTTTTTATAGATTTCTAATTTTATTCCATTGTCTTCAGAAAAGGTACTTGATATGATTTTGACTTTTTTGAATTTGTGGAGACTTCTTTTGGGCCCTAAAATATGGTCTATTCTGGAGAATGTTCCACGTGCTGGTGAGAAGAATGTGTATTCTGTGGCAGTTGGGTAAAATGGTCTATAGATGTCAGCTAGGTCCATTTGGTCTAGTGTATAGTTTAACTCTTATGTTTCTTTGTTGTTTTTCTGTCTGGATGCTCTGTCCGTTACTGAGAGTGGGATGTGGAAGTCACTTACTATTATTATATACCAGTCTGGCTCTCCCTTTAGATCTATTAATATTTGCTTTATATATTTGGGTGCTTCAGAGCTGAATGTATGTATATTTATGATTGTTATATCATCTTGCTGAATTGACCCCTTTCTTATTCTATGGTAACCTTTTTCATCTCTTTTTAAATTCTTTGACTTTTAGTCTATTTTATTTTATATAAATATGGCTCCTCCTCCTCTTTTTTGGTCCCCATTTGCACAGAATATCTTTTTTCATCTCTTCACTTTCAGTCTGTGTGTGTGTGTGTGTGTGTGTGTGTGTGTGTGTGTGTATCTTTACAGGTAAAGTGGGTTTATTGTAGGCAGCATACAGTTGGGTCTTGTTTTATTCACCCGTTCAGCCACTCTATGTCATTTAATTGGAGAATTTAGTCCATTTATATTCAGTGTTGTTATTAATAGACATGGACTTATTATTGCCATTTTGAAACTTGCTTTGGTTGTTCTGTAACTCCTTCCATCCTTCCTTCCTTCTTTCCTTCCTTCCTTTGTTCTTTCTTTCTTTTTCCCTTTGTGGTTAAGTAACTTTCTTTGGGTTTGACTTGTTACTTTTTATTTTTAGTCTATCTATTATAGGTTTTTGCCTTGTGGTTACCATGAGGCTTACAGAAAACATCTTACACCCATAATATGCTGAAATTAAAAAAAAAAATAGAAGAAGAGAGTGTGCCAGGATAAAGTGTTAACTGTTCCTGTGGGGTAGGAGTCTTAAATCCAAGACTAAGCCAAGGGCTCCATCAACCCCAAATGAAAGAGTGTAAACTGCTATGTGTTATCAAAGAAAATCGACTTAATTTTGCAAATAAAAAGAAATCTTAGAGATATAACAAGTTATTTGAAACAGATGACAACTTATCTTTTACCACAAAGAATAGAAACAAACAAATGAAAAACTAAAAATCTTTACACTTTAACTCCATCTACCCTCCATATTTTGACTTTTGGTTGTCTCAATTTACATCAAAATACTGCCTATCTTTTAAAAAATTGCTGTAGTCATTATTATTTTTGATAAGCTTGTCTTTTAGCCATCATATAAGAATTATGAATGGTCTTTGGGGATTCCTTTGTTTTTGATGAGTTTCTTTTCTCTCACTGCTTTCAAAATTATCTTTGTCTTTGACTTTTGACAATTTGAGTATAAAGTACCTCAGAGTAATCTTCTTTGGGTTGATCTTGCTTGGAGCTTGGAATCCTTGAACTTCAGTAAATTGGATATCCACATCCTGTCCAGAATTCATGAAGTTTTCAGTCAGTATTTCTTTAAATAAGTTTTCTGCCCCTTTTTCTTCTTCTGAGACTTCTACAATTCATATGTTCATACACTCTGTGGTGGCCTATAGTTTCCCTGTGCTTTCTTCACTCTTTTTCTTCTTTTTTCCTCTCTAAATGGCTAATTTCTTTTTTTATTATTATTAAGACAGTCTCACTCTGTTGCATGGGCTAGAGTACCATGATGTCAGCCTCGCTCACAGCAACCTCAAACTCCTGGTCTTCAGCAATCCTCTTGCCTCAGCCTCTCAAGTAGCTGGGACTACAGGCACACACAAACATGCCCAGCTGATTTTTTATATTTTTAGTAGGGCCAGGGTCTCACTCTTGTTCAGGCTGGTCTTGAACTCCTGAGCACAAGTGATCCTCCTGCCTCGGCTTCCCAGAGTGCTAAGATTACAGGCATGAGCCACTATACCCAGCCTAAATGGCTAATTTCAAATGACCTGGTTTTGAGTTTGCTAATTTTTTCTTCTGAATGATTGAGTCTGCTGTCAAAGTTCTCTACTGAACTTTTCAATTCTGTTATTGTATTCTTTGGTTCCAGGATTTTTGTTTGTTTGTTTTTAATGATTTCTATTTCTTTAGTAAACCTCTCTCTTTGTTCATGCATTATTTTTCTAATTTTGTTTAGCTGTATAGCTCTGTTTTCTTGCATCTCATTGAGCTTCTTTTATATAATTACTGGAATTCTTTTTCAGGAAATACTTAGATCTTTTTAGCCTGGGAGGAGACCATCTGCATTCCACAGCACTCTATGACCAACAAATTATTGGACACGGTGAGGAGCCCTCTGTCTTTAAGAATCACAGAA